GCAGAGTAAAGGGTGGCACCTACAGCAATGATGCTGAGGTGCAGCTGTGGCTAAGACTCTTAAACATCCAGAGGTATGAGGCAGGAGTGTAGGGGCAGTGGAGCTCCCAAATATGGCCCCTAAGGCTGGATATTACATACTAGTATAACTATGTTGATCAACCCTAGCCGGAGAGTTGTTGATCATACTTCAGAGGAGAAAAGTAACTGTTTTTAGCTATTTCCGCCTATTGATAATTCCATCTAAGCTGTGGTGGGTGAGGCAGGCTGAGGACTGTAAACACTCTTCCTTCACAGAAGAGGGGAAAATAACCCCAGCAAGGGTTCCTAATAAGGATAAGGACATTGAATTTAATGAGTCTTGCCCTCAGGGGAACAACAACTCAGTGACAGCACTCTTCCCCAAGTGCTTTCAGTGATCTCCCATTGCCCCTTCTAGCCATCCAGTACCTCACAGCCGCCTCTTCCAGAGGATACAAGAGATAAAGATGACCTCAACTTGACTCTTTTCTGGGTGCTCACTCCAGGCTCCTGGTCACTAAACTCACAGTCCTCCACAGAATTCCTGACTTGCTCTGCCCTGGAGTTGGGCTTATGTGACTCTGAGGACTGCACCTTTTAGCCTCAATGCAAAGCAGTCTGCCTTAAAGCTGCCACACAGGCAGGCTCTTGGTGCCCTATAGGGGCCGAGTCAGGGGAAATCTAGCCAGGAGGCATGGAGAAATTTAAATTTTCCATGAGTAACCATGGTTTCTCTCTCCAGGGAAGGCTGTGTGCCTGCTCCCTGGCACAGAGGGCTGGTATCAGGCCAGCAGGAGTCAAAATAGCTGCCTGGTAAGGGGCCATCCAGATAGGTTTAGTTTATGGCTCCCTGCAGCACAGTCTTCTTTTTTTTTCCCCATCCCAGGATAGAAACATGACATGGTGGTAGAGGGAAGCTACAGCCCCCAGTGGGGATTGAGGAAAATGTGGCCAGGTGGCATGGGAAAAATTAAATTAGCTGTGATTAATTGAACTTTCCTGCAGCTTTTGTCTGACTCAAGAGGAAAGACACAGCCCTCTCTGGAGAAGTTTAGGTGCATGGTACCCAGTCCAGGGGTGCTGGGAGAGGATCAGCCAGGGTGGCCAGAGCCACCTGACACAGGGCCAACTAGCTGGACTCATCTCTGAGGCTCCCCACAGCCATTGTCAGTAATCTCTTGATTCAAGGATGATCTGTAGCACAGATCATTGATGGGTCTTGAGGTGTCTTAAGAGTCCAAACCTTGAGTCACAGACCCATCCTCAGAAGTTGCAGGAATTTTCACAGGGGAGGGTAGATTGTAGGCCATGATTTCTCTCCTTTTCTTTTCTCCTCTGTCTTCTCTGTTTTGAGGGTAAGACATCTGACCTCAAAATGAACAGTAGGGCTTTGCGAAATTTCACCACCAGTTTTGTTTCATAGAATCATAGAAGTAGGGTCGGAAGGGACCTTGTAGATCTTCAAGTCCGACCCCCCGCCTGAGCAGAAAAACTGGGCTCAAATGACTCCAGCCAAGTAGGCATCAAGCCTCTTTTTAAAGACCCCCAGGGTAGGAGCCAGCACCACTTCCCTTAGATTCATTTCAAGGTCAAAACAGCAAAATCAAAACAAAACAGATATAGTCAAAACAGCCTCAAAACAAAATGAGCCAAGTCGAAGTATTTCGCCATTTCAACACTGTTTCAATGTTTCACCCATAGGCTGTAATGGGGAAGGGTGAAACAGCCTATAACTTTGTTATTTCTGGCCTGATTTGGATGTAACTTACAGGAATGGTAGCCCCTTCTGAGGGCATGAAGTCTGCCAAGTTTCCAGGAGATAGAGGTATGGGGGTTTGGGGAAACTTCACCCCAAAGCCTCGAAAGCAAAATTCATGTCATGTGTATGTGTTAAGTCACAGTGGGGTCAAAACTTCAGGCTTGCTAGCCCCTGCTGAGGCCACAAAGCCTGCCAAGTCTCAAGGAGACAGGTGCAGGGGTTTGGGGAAAACTGTACCTCAAGCTGCAGACAAGCAAAACGCGTGACATGGGTGACACTGTGCGTGTTAAGGTGCAGCAGGATGAAAGCTGCAGACATGATAGCCACTGCTGCAGCCATGAATCCTGCCAGCTTTCAAGGAGATAAGTGCAGGGGTTCTGGGGCCCTGCACAGGGATTCTAGGGCTGCTGATAGGCAAAACTCATGTCATGGGTGCTTGTGCAACTGTGTCTGTCTTGGGGCATGGGGGTGCGGGTGGGGGTGGAAACTACTGCAGGCCTGGCTGCTAGGCCCTGCTGTGTCCACAAAGCCCACCAGCTGTCAAGGAGATCAGTGCAGGGGGATTCTGGAGCCCTGCACCCCTAGCTGCTGACAGGGAAAACTCGTGACATGGGTGCTTGTGCAACTGCTGCCTCTCATCAGGCAGCAGAACTGAAGATCTCCCATCACTTGCCACCCCAGACCTGGGGGTAATAATTGACCACAGTATGAACATGAGCCATCAGTCTGATGCTGTAGCCAGCAGGGCCAACAGTACTCTTCATGAACAGCCACTTGGTTGAGGTTGCAAGGCCATTGGAGTTGATCAGCAGCCAGATCCTCCCAAGTCTTGACATTGGCCTTGGTTTTGCTGAGGTATGCCTTCAATGTGTCACATTTCCTCTGGGCACCATGAGATCTTAGGTCATTACTAAGCTGGGAGTAAACCACTTGTTTTAGGAGTTGAGAGTCAGGCATCCACACACAATGTCTGGTCCAGTGAGGTTGGTGCTGTCAAGCAACATGGAGCTGGCAAGCCAAGCTCACGGTGTTGGTCACGGTGGTGCAGCCGGGCAGTGGCAAATTGGATACAGACAGGTGGGAGTTTTGGCGATGGAGTCTGAGCAGCACAGGAAGCGTATTGGTTCCTTAAACAAGATGGAATTTATTTAACTTACGCTTAGATGCATAGGTAACGATGTCTTCAGTTACAGTAACAAGCAGGTGAACAAACAAAGGGGTCTGTTGGCCCACAGGGTTCTCCAACAAGCCCTTGCTTTCTACCTCTGACGAGGTAGGTGCGGCTGCCTGTTGAATAGTCCTAGGGCTGGTCAACAGCTCATAAATTGGTAACACACAACGAACTGTAACGATGTGATGCCAGTCCAGTAAGGACAATGAAGAGCCGAAATGGTGTTCGAAGCAGAAGTCAGGAGCCGGTGTGACGAATCGAGGATACAGCCAAAGCCGGTGAGGAATTGTTGCATAAATTGCTGCTTTTATCCCCTGGAGGCTAGTCCAATTCA